GGCCATCCACTCACCTCAGCCTCCCAAAGGCGCGGGATGACAGGCTGAGCCACCGAGCTCGGCTTGTGTATTTCATCATATGTCAACTACACTCAACTTAAAAACTCTTGAAGACTGCGCTGAGAAGCCACATGACTGTAAGATGGGAAGAGACGGAAAAGGAAAGGGACCCAGGGCAGGTTGGCAGGACAGACGCCCTCTGATCAGGAGTGGAGACAGCTGCCAGGCAGCCCCCACGCCGCAGGGCCCACAGCTGCAGACATGCTCACGTGCACAAGATGCCCCGGAATGACTTCTCCCAAGAAGGCTGGTGATGGCCCCAATGCCAGCCCATGTGGCCAAACACACCCCGTCTCACAACAGAGTACCACATAGCTGTGCACAGAACCTAGGCCCCAGGGAGCACTCGAGATTCTGACATGGCACGACCTCCCAGTGCTTTGTGCTAAGTGCCTGCAGTATGTCAGGCCACTGGCATGACACATGGGGGTCTCTGTGATGTTGATTTCCTTACACATGCCTGGAGGTGCCTGAGACTGGCAGCAGATCCTTGAGCACGGGGTGCTAGCTGCTCCTTAGAGGCTGGAGGGGCAGCTTTGCAGCCTGGGAGCCGCTCCATCTGTCGTGGCCATGCCTGGCCAGGCAGCGACACTGTCTGTTTGTGGCAGCCAGCGGAGCGGGCCTCATGCCTGCCCACCAGGACTTCCTGAGCGCCACACCTGAGAACAGGCAACTCGGAGAGCCCTCTGGTGGGCTCAGGCCAGACGCCTGGTAGGCCCCACCTCTGCTGGGCCTCCCAGCCTGGTCCGTGGGCCCTGCAGGCGCAGACCAGGGCTCAGTAGTGCCAGGCCTGTCACCGGTGCTCAGGGAGCCGTGCCACCGCAGTGGCCCGGCAGGACCGTGAGGCAGGCCGCCCGGCTGGGGACACACGGGCCACTGCAGACACACCACATCGGCCTGGAGCGGGGGGAGGACAGCCACGCAAGGCACAAGGCCTCATGGCAGCCAACGCCCAAGCTG